TACCTGAAATAATTCAGCAGCACTATGGGGCCTTCTCTCAACCTTGGAGAATTACTTTCTAAGTGCTCTTTTGAGAATTGCCTAGGCATTTTCGAGAGGATTGAGATCTGGTAAGTTGGGAGGCCAAGCCAATTTTTGATATCTACAGTCCTTTTGTAATTTTTGTTTTCTGCTTCATTATGCCATAATGCATTATCAGCAGCCATATAAATGGTTTGTAGAGCTCTGTCTATGGCTTATATGAAGGAGATGAGGTAGGGTTAGTGAATCTCAGATGTGTATTGGTGGGAATTGAGACCAAGTCTGTCTCTTTTGCTAGTCCTTTCCTCCTTAGTCCTCTTTCTCACAAGAATGAGCTTAGTCCTCCCTCCATATATCATTACAGCATATACACCTATGTTGGTATGCCATGACTTAAAGCCTGGCTTTAAGTTCTTTTCTCCCAACTCTTCACCTGGTCTAAGTCTGACCTTTTTTTCCACTAAATTTGGATCATATTCAATTGTGGCTTCATCCACAAAAACCGCCCATTTTCAAGCTCTTGTCCAGTTCCTCCTCACTCTAGCAACCTCCTTTCTCTTCTTCTTCTGTTCTTTTCTCTAAAATGGCTTTTTTCTAGGTATCCTGAGCTTAAATCCAACTTCTTTGAATATCTTGCTAACAGTATCCTTGCCAAATCCAATATTGGCTTTTTGTGTAATGTCTCTTAGGGCTAAATAAGGCTCAGCATCAATAATATCATCAGTAATCTTTGTTGATCTGCCGGGTCTGGGAGTATCATCGGTGTTTTCATCTCCGAATTTCGCATTTTTGACTGCTATTGAAACAGTTAACTTGGAGAGGTTTATAAACTTTGAAATTTTACCATACCCCATATCACTATATTTATAGAGGGCATAGATTTCCCTTTTCTGGTCTTCTCTGAGAGTTTGGGAGTATGGTAGTGCCATGGTAGGGGGTGATGTTGAGGTAATTGTTGGTTGCGGTGTTGCCAAGCAAGGATATGTAGACTTTTCACACACGACTGTACAGTACATCCTTCTAAATAGACCGTGGCTCTATTGTTGTTGTTCTTCTCTTTCCATTTAAATTTAGTTTTTCCTACATGCCATGCTACTTCATGTTGTATGATATCTGTATACTTGTACTCTTACTTTTACTATTTTCTTTCAATTTCCTCAGATCTACATATATCTTGGCAGATTATTATGTCAGGATCTCGCTGAGGGTGCAACTGGTTTATATAGGTAACAGTCTTCAGGAACTGTCTTTAGCTTAAGGTATTGCACCTCCCTCAAGTCCTCGCCTCCCACTCGGCATACCTAACCCTGCTGATTAACCAATTCATTGATATCATTACAATACCTGCCGGAACCTGGAATATCCAGAAAATCTGCATCCTTTTGATCTTCGCTTTCTTCCTCTCTTCCCTGCCTTTTTTTCCCTTCGCCGCCCTACTCCCTTATTAGCTTTACGACATCTTTTCTCTCCTCCCTCTTCATTGCCTCCGTGTTAAGCTAGGTTTCGGGAACACACGCTCCTTTTTGCTCGAGTTTTATTTTATCATACTTTAATTTTTTAATATCTTTTATCCTACCACGATTGTTCTCAACTACAACCTCCACACTTATTCAACATTTGACAGGAGGTGGGAAATAGTGAATAGAAGGCAGCATGGGGTTTTTTGGAGTCTTGGTGTCTTATGTTGCGCCGTTGTTGTATGTTTCCGTCGTACCTCCGACGCGGGTGTGACTGATGTTGGGAGAGCAGTATCGTTACCAGCCCGCTTACGAGCTATGCGGATCAGGTACGGGGTGATATTGTGATAAAGATGAAGATGAGGTGGGAATTGGAAGACTGATTTTGAGGCTAAATGCTTAGATCCGGAATATACACGTAACAAAATCCTCCCGAGGCTTTTCACTGGACGTATGTTGGACGGATTGACCTGGAGTTCTACCATGCGAGAAGCAATGAGTGAAGGGATGAAGCTAATAGTGATGGTTGTTTTTCTTTCTTTGGCAGACACCCTTAATAATGCTCATAGCATCCATACTCCGCTGCTTCTACTGGCTCGGGGCGGATTTTGAGACTAGTCTTTTGATACAAAGTCCCTCCCACCCCTCTCCCAAGCGAACGCAACTAAGACATAAGAAATTACAGGCATAATAATGATATTTGTCCAACTCCTCCTCCTAAAAGTCGCCCTTGACTACCGCCCACCCTCCTACCCCCCACTCTCGCCGCCAACTCCCACAGCTTCCCCAACTTCCACCTCCCACTCTCCGCCCTTCCCACCATACCCACCAGCCCCGCGGCCCTACAATTTCTGGCAATGGCCCACTCAAAAACCGTACTGGTCGTTCCTCCTCTACTTTTCCCTTATAACACTGACCCTACACCTACTCTTCGGTTCCAGCCAGCTCTTCATCGACATGGTCGGGTACCTGGCCTTGGGTGTGGAAGCCACGCTACCAATACCGCAGGTGCTCTCAAACCAGAGCAGCCGCTCGTGCGATGGCTTCCGCCTCAGCGTGTTGGCCAGCTGGCTGCTCGGCGACGTGATGAAGATACTCTACTTTTTCTCGGCAGAGCATGTGAGTGTGCAGTTCAAGCTTTGTGCTGGCGTGCAATTCACCCTTGATACGTATTTGGGTGTGCAATCTTGGATGTTTGGTAGTGGTGTGGGGGAGGGGGTTAGGAGGTGGGAGTTGGAGATGGTGGAAAGGGGGGAGATGAGACTTGCATAGGAAGTTGAGTCGTAACAATAGTTGTAATTTGGGTTCTTCGGGTGTTCTTTTATCCCATTATTTTTTTGACTCTTTTCAGGCACGCACGACAGTAGGGATAGAGATATATAGAGTGGTCAAAATGTGCTATACGGGCAAATACGCAAAAGATGGACGGTTATCAACGTGATTATAGCGAGTTAGACTTTATGATATTAGACTTTATATAATAGATGTATCTTGTTTTTAGTAGTATTCTGACTGCACAGTAAGGAACATTGGTTATGTTGGTGCATGCTATGTAGACGCAAAGCCACCTCTCTTGTCCATGTCCTGCTAGTCAGAAGAAAAATCGTACAAGTTATTCAAACCAAGAAAATTTACCGTTGTAACAAGTAATCTATCCTAAATACATATGATATAAAAGAAAACTACAAATAAAGGAAATCCACAAACCTAAAACCAGATGGCTTCTACCTGTATCATAGTACAAGTATGATGGTCAGGTTTAAATAGAGTAAAAAAAAGAAAATAGAACTGTAGCGAGTGGTTTAAGCAACAGTAATAAGGAAAAAAAGAGGTGGTATCAATGTTACACCAACTGAGTTAAAGTTATAAGCCTATAGCGGTGCAGCAGATGTAAGGAAGTCTCCCTCAGGAAAGATGGATCGTGAGGATGCGACCACACCGGAATGAATTCTTCAGGGAATAAATATAATAAAATCTCAATGTTGCAGCAATGGAGTTGAAGAAACAAATGGGTGAAATTTCATATCATTAAGCCACAGCTTTTACTCAATTAAGCCCTGATCTTGAGAGGTATTTGATTACCAAAATAGAAGAGAACTCGCATATAGTTTAAGTCAACTTCATATACTGCATGTTGTTCCCTATTACTGCCCATGCTCCATCTTTATTACAACTGTAGTCAAAGAAAAAACCACACCATATTTTCACCAAGGCAAGCTCTCATTGGCTGAAAACCTTTTCTCATTGACTTGCTTTTATCCATCGCTTAGGGATATAGACTTTTCTCATTCCACTATGGCCTCTGGAAAGAAACAAGGAAAAGGAAGAGGGACAGGCTGCAGTGCTACCGCTCCCCCTCCCCAGAGGACACAAACCCCACCTATGACAAGGCCTACCACTTTTGACAGCCAACCACCTTATCTGCTATTTTTAGGTCCTCATTGCCTCCAGGCCCATCTACATAAAGGTCACAGCATAGTGACACCACCGTATCCCTCCTGGTAATTCCAGACATTTACATAAAAGGAACACCTCCTGATACCAACTACTTCCAATATCAGTTCATTAACACGGCGGTAGATCTAGACTTTCAGGAACTAGATTTCCAACCATACATCATCATCTTTTATAATATGCTGCAATGTGTACTTGACTACTACCAGACAGCTTTTAATGGGCCCTACAATCTGGTCAACAGCCTCGCAGATGGATTGAGATACTACAAGTACATTGCCTTTTCAACAGAAGTATTTATGACTGCACTTACCACAAAACCTGCTCCGGCAATCCTCCTACCCTCTAAAGCAGACTCTACTTCTGCCTCTTCAAATCAACTAGCTCACCCTCCTTCCTCTCAACCTGTCCCAGTTGGTACCCCTTCTTGGGTAGCTGTGGTCAGGAAGGGAAATAGGAAGGCCCTTAAATAAAAACCTACCATAGTGGCTAAATCACCCACAGCCACAGTCGTGGTATCCAAGAAGGGCATTATCATAAGTGAAAGAAAACTCATTATCAAACAAGATAGTATTCCTCTCTCCAACATAATCATAGAGCTTAACAATAACATCAATAAAGCTCTTTTAGTTATCCTGGTCTAAATAGTCTCCATCACAGGTGGCAATGTCCATATCACTACTATGTAAAATGTTAATATCACGATTCTGAATAGTAAGGTCTCTCCCTTCATCTGCCTCATCCCAGGTACTACTACTGTCTATGTGGACATGCCTGTCACTCAGTTAGTTGTACACAGCCTACTTGCTTCTCACTTACTTGTAACCATTACAACAGAACTCACCACTTTTAACTCTGGGCTTGCTCTCACTAACCAACTCAGATGACTTACCTCTGATGATGCAAGATAAGAAAAAGCAGCCTTCTCTATTCTTGTCTTCATTACTGATCTCAAGTGTTAGGAATACTGAGATCTGATACCCAGTAGTCATCCTAAGTAGGGTAACCTCATCCAGAATCGGAATCTCTAGTCTCCAACACCGTCCTCTGGCCCCCTTATGGGGCCCACACATCATCATCTATATCAATCTCAATTGCGTCCTGTGACTATAATACTACAGGAATAAAGGTGTCAGAATACCAGCGTATATGTTACCACCATCTGTCCAGCAGGAATCCGTAAGTAGGTTATACGAGAGGGGACCTTCGGCTAGGTCTGGGAAGTGGAACTGAGTAAATCCGCCAACTACTCAGAACATTACTAGGCTTCAAACAGGTAATACCTTTGGCAAGGGCTGTAGGTGACAGGACAATTCTGCACAAAGAAATGGTATTGAATGGGAAAGGATCTCAGCAAGAGACCAATACATTCACACCCACACAACAATATCTAGAAGAGTCTAGAACTGTGAGAAACACTACGATAGAAGTTATTAGACTTCACAGAGTGTTGCAACCAGGTTTCAGAACACGTTGTAGTTACTAAGACAACTTTCTATACTACAATAGTGATTGAAATCCTGTTACCCAAAGTAACCAAGGATTGCTGATGGAGGAAATAATTAGCAATCCAGTAGAATAGCTTTCTGCAAATTCGTAGGAAGTCCTCCGGAAGATATTTATAGGTTGGGCAAGGAGTTATGGAGCTTTAAAGTTGGGCAATCAAAAAAGGTTCGTCATTATGACTACCTTCACAGATACAACTCGCAGATGAAACCGATCATTTCATCAATAACAAAGACAATTGGAGCCAACTGAATTCAACTTGAAAACTATGCCACAAGTCTAAAGACTCGAAAGATCGGATAACTACTATTGGGAACAGTATAGTTCTAAGTTAGTTATATCATAATTAGCAAAAAAGGTGTAGATATTTTGAGTGTCCCCAGGTATTTGCACCTTTCAAAAATACTGGACATTGCGAGTTTTAATCAGAAAGGGACAAAGTGGTATGATAAATAGATGTATTTCGTGAACACTCAGTTGAGGAATATAAATATCGAAATACCCCTCAAGCTAGAAACATCATCAAGCAACGGTGAAGAGACCTTAATAATATAAGACGGTTTTTATGATTCTACTTTACTTTACCGAATTTACTTCACTCTTAGTAGTCATAAATGAAATGAGTAAACCTGTCATGAATGTGGATTGGCATGGAAAAGGTTTTTACATGACACATAATTATGAGTCATAGATATGTTATTGTTTTGTGCATATGACACATTTGGGTTATGGGATGTTATGATTTTATAGGTTTCGCACATGACTCGAATATGAGTTATGGGATGTGCACCTGGTGAGTATATGTTGCGAGTGTTACTTGTGAGTATGCCTTGTGCATATAATTTATATTTAGCACAAGACCTTGTTGTGATGTCTTGGGTTTTGTGCATGTGACTTATTCGAGTCATATGACTTGTTTATTATGTTATGATTGGTTTATGAGTTTTTGCGCATGACCTTGCTACGAGGTCATGGGTTTTGAGCATGTGACCACTTTGGTCATATGACTATTTGTTATGATTTGGTCCCACGCATGTGACCACATTGGGTCACATGACTATGGGTGAGAAGAACACTATATAAGGAGGCTGGTACGGCCAATGAGGGTAGGTTGTTCACGCTTTGTTTTAAGTACTGTTCCTCCTTCTTTCACCCTGGGTCGGACATGAAGGTTCAGTGTCAATCCAATCAGAGCCCTGGATTTCTATCTCACCAAAGGCTTCCAGTCTTTAACTTTGAACACCTGTTAGGGACTTCATTGTTATACCTCTTCCAACATTTACTGGAAGTCTTTTCTTCCTTTTAGTTATCTTTTGGGTTGTTTACTACAGTCACCTCCTCACTGTCATAATGGCTGAATAAGCGTCCACCCTCTCCGCCACGTCCACTCTACATCCGTCAGTGGTTTTGTCTCATGCCGTCATGAAAAACCTTGCCCTGGAGGCCGAAGTCACTCGCCTTCGGCATTACATCTCCATCCTTTCTCGGTGGTTTCATCGAGCTTGGAAAGAAATATCTACCTTGTTGGCTGCCCTCAACAATGAATGTGCTGTTAATCGTGATTATCTCAAGATGTTGGCAGCTAACGCTCTGATGGTTATCCTCTCGTCACCTGTTCTCTCAGTCGCTTCGGTTACTACTGTAGTCTCCGTTAGGGGTGGTGGGCTAGACCCTGATAGTCCTTAGTGTCTAGCAGTGGACCTCCCTTACGGGAATATTGTACTGCCGGTTATTCCAGCCCCCCCCTGCAACTGCGGTTACAGGTGGTAGTATGGGTAGACCAATTCCTGATTAGTTAGGGCCAGTTGTGGCGCTTACTCCTGGTGTGGGTGGGGTGGATCCTGGTATGGTAATACCAGGTGCGGTGGTATTAGCTCTTTCGGGAGGGCAGGTGCCTGAGTCCTCAGTCGCTGCGCCCATAGCTAGTCGGGGTAATACCTCAGGTGGCGTCCCTCCTCTGGTGGTGGCTGGTGATAAGAGTGGCCTGTTCACTCCTGTTACTAGACCTGCACCTGGGAGTGGGAAGAGGAAGAAAAACAAGAAGCACCAGGTCAAACAAGACCAGACCTTACCTGTGCCACTTGTCTCCAATTTGGAAGGATTATCAAGTTCACTGGTTCCCTACCGTGAACTGGCTACTACAGAGCCTGCAGCAGGTTCAGCGCCTGCAGAGAGAGCTTAGGAGTTGGAGGAGGTGCTGAATACCTGGGTATGTTCGGTAAGGTGCTGGTAGCTTGGAGACGGTCGCGTTCTGGTAGCTTCTGTTGAGGCTTTTGGGCTATACTGCCAGTGTAGTGCCCCCCAGAATCTCGAAGATAGTTCATACCCCCTTGGCTAGGGAGTCCTTGCCCTCTCAGTTGGCCTTTCCTTGAGTCTATTCGCTTGGGTGTTAGGTGTTTCTTTTGTTTGGAAATGGGGATAGGTGCTGAGGTGGTAGG